AATCAGGGGCTGTTCTGATACACAGCCTGAGAGCAATGTGACATATTACATCAAATGAGCTTTACATAGTTATTCTAGCTATTTTACCCACTCCATGACTGGTTTCAAAACCACAAACCCCTCTGGCATAGTGAAACTGAATTTGCTGAGACTTCCTTTTCGAATTGTAGAGTATGAGGGAGGTATATTGTGTTTCTCTTCTTCTTTGGCTCCTTATTGGGTTAAGCACTTTATGACACCTTCGAGTTCAGACAAGTCTGTTAAGTGTGAGAGATCCAATGTTCTCTCACTCTACACAACACCCACAAGCTGTCTCTGCTGGTGTCTTTAGTGCTGAGGAGGGGAGGGAGGGGAGGGGAGGGGGCATGCTGAGAGGGGATTCCTAACAAGTTGGGCCTTGTTTTTCCAAAAAACCCTTCCTGGCCTTCGGGTAAAACAAAAGAGGCAAACCCCAAATGATTGAGACAAGGTCTCGCTTAATCACAGAACACAGTTAAAGGTTAAGGCAGAGGCAATCCATCACTACAATAACATGTAACCAACAGGCAGCGCTAGGGGCTTGATTCTGAGTCATTCATAATGACTGTCAATAAAGCCAACTTGCAACTACAGATTTTCTTCTGAGATGTGGAAAGAAAATTTGACCTGCGAGAGAGAAGAATAGTAGTAACATAACCAAATGGGAGGGTTTTAGGGCACTGCTTTGTTTAAATACAGAATATATATATATATATATAGATAGAGATAGAGATAGAGATAGATAGATAGATATATATATATATATATATATCAATGATTTAAACTAGCAGTAGTTGTCTGCATGCATGTCCAGCCTCACCACATCAACAGAGCACAAGACTGAGGCTGCAATTATCTACACTGACCATTAGGCATGGGACCATATGGAGATTTAATGTCAGTTATCCTGGACAAAATAAACACACAGATGCGTTACATTATGAATATGAAAGAAAGTTTAAAATAGCATTAAAATTGTGGCCAAGGCGGAACAGCACAGCACCAGGTTAACTGGGAAAGATCAGAATTTTTTGAGTTGTTGATTATAGCTAGTTGACCGCATGGCCAAGAGGCTAGATAGCAGGATGAAAAGTTTCAAACTGCACTCGTCTCGTGATACAGGACTTTTGCATACATAAGTCTATTAATTGCATATTCCGTTTCAAGACTGCCGAGCGTGCAAAAAAGGTCAACAACTACTGTGGAGACTGATGGGGAGGTCTGAAATTGTTAGGCAAGCTGTTGTGGGTGGAGCGTAAGTTGGGAGGTCCCCAAACCAGTGTTTTGTCTCCCACTTCAAGTATCTGCCAATACTGGGTCCAGCCTATTCTCATTACAAGGGCATCAAATACCGACGCTTCCGATACAGACCCACAACACACCATTTAATGTCTGTAGGATGCCAAGAACTTCTGCATGAAGATGAAATGTCCTGCTGTCTTTTAATAGTTTGCCATCCTTTAATGGTCTTTAAGAGGTACCCATACCCGATTAGGACGTAGTGTTGAATCATCATCATAGCTGTAATAAACAAATCTTTTTTGGGAAAGTCATAAAATGACCTGATGCCTTTCTAGAATTAGCAGGAATGTTGTGAAGAAGTTGTGTCCCAGTGTGGTGCCAAAACACTGTGATTCACCCATTGTTGAATATACAGTTTGCTGACAACACAGCTGAAGAGACACAAAAACAAACATTTATAAAACTATGAAAAATGGCTGAAACACAACAAATATTAGTTTTTTTTAATCTACTAGATCTCCTGAAACAAACTAATCAATTCTCATGCTGAATGACTTGTTTCCAAGGAACTTATGAGCGTAACTCTGGTAAACACAAGATTTAAAGCGGTGCTTTATGTGATAATTCCGTTTTACAGATCTGTCGATTAAATCAACCGATCACTTAAATCGACAAACTCGTACGAGCGTTAGTCGACTGAGAAGTTCTTTGTTCTTTGGTGTGTCGGCTGTTCTTTCTATATACAGTACGTACATCACATGTTTCTCTGGTTGAGAGCGGCATTTTTGGAGAAGAATGAGCCTTGGGTGAACTCATAACTACGTGCTCTTTTAGAAACGGCAGGAAAAAAAATAGCAAATGATCGTCTCTCTAAATGAACTGTGACTGCTTAACTCAAAACAAGAGTGCTCCAATTAGAGAAAAGCCAACCTCATTAAACTGTCTTCAAACCACACCGCTTTCAAGGACATAATCATTGTCTCGTCAAACACCAGTGGCTGTCACATATCTACTGCGATTGATAACCATTTAAAGCCAGAGTGTGAATTATCTTTATAGGTCCCCATAGACTGGGTTTGTACTGAGCACATTTCTTTATAAATCACAAACGGTTTGTGTATGAAACTACTGACAACTTTCAAATGGTCATGATTTTGATTGAACAGTAAATATCATGTTTCTGGTAAACATCCTATCTAATTATTACTTCCTTCCATTCGTGTACATATGATTTAGACATTTTGAGTAGCTTTTACATATTGTGACGCACTCCTGAGGGACATTTAGTAGCATCCAACATGTCTCTTTACACTCCATCTTACAACCTTTCCAGTAATACCAGACAGAAAGCATGGCATCCAGTGAATGCCACATAACTTCAGAAAGTTGCCGACCTACAAGGCTTGGGTGGATGTTTCAGCGCTGAGTCACCCTGTCTTCTAAATATCCGGGGCCCTGTGGTTCTCAGGATTGGCCTGGTAGCACTCACCATCACGGCTAATGCTTTAGACACTTAGATCTTGCGCTCTGCAAACTCGTGCCTTAAAATAGCCTTTGGATTAACAACAATCAGGGGACAGATGCCATTGAGCTGACTTGACCCCAAGGGACCAAAACATTAACACAATTATGCCCGCAGGGCTTTGTTTAACCAGACAAGGCGAGGCTACAGCCCAATACAAAAACCTGTGAGTCAGATCATATGTATTTTATATTGCCTGAAGAAAGAGTGCAGTGAAACAAGTTGATGCAATGAACAGGAAAGATACCGAGACAGAGGCTCTGATTATTACTGGGGTACGGATGTTTCTCGGACTCAATCAAAGTAGGGCAGAACTAATTAGACTGTTGCACCAGCAGCAGCACGTAGGATTGGAAAAGGGACAGGGGAAGAGGCCTAGGGGGAGACTCTGGAATGAGGTCACAACCTCCCATCGTTGCAATGCTCCATTTTACATATTCAGGTTTCCTGAGAATGTGCATGTGGGAGTGTGGCTTCATTGCCATGGCACAGTCATCAAGTTGATATGTTATATGGTGGGATTTTCAACAGGGTTTGTTTAGATTCTGGAGAGTGTCACTGTGAGCAGGAAATGGCTCACAGTGTACTTTCTTTTTTTTTTTTTTTTTTTACAGACTGCAGCACCCAGATTTGTTTTGACCTGGAAAACAGCCCTCATCTGTTAAAAACTACCTGCTGATGAAGCACTCGGTTTTGTTTATGTCTACATCGGTCAGCCCAATAAAAAACAAAGGAATCCATCTGTATAAGCACTCAATCCAACAAATCACGCCTAAAATCAAGATCTCCTGAAATCAGCGCACTGTTTGCTGAATAAATAATCATGCTGCTCTCAGGTGGGCACACGAGGAGGCACCTCATCAGCGATGAAGCTTGTCGTCAAGGCAAATGACAGCATCGGATTTCATCGCTATGGAAGCAAGGAGTGCCAGACTGTAAACAGTGAGACGTCCCACTGGGTACAACCCACCTCAGCACACTTCAATATGCTGAATAAATAGCATTCTGACACAATTTTCACCCTGGCATTACAATGCATAGTCAACATTACAAGAGTGGCCTATGTGTATGAAGATTCTCAGTCATACAGGACATATGATATCTAGACATTGGACTTGTTCAAGCTGCTTTTGATTTAGGGCTTCTATATATGATCAGCAGCATATATGTATGTCTGAAATTAGGCAGCAATGCAACACTAAGTTTTGAATTTAACCAACTTTACAGCTGTTTGCCTCGTGCACTGCAGATGTCCCTTAATTGAAACACTGTGGAGTAGCACAGTGAAACAAAAAAAAAAAGATCCAAACAAAAGCCAGACATCCAAATCCATGTGGATCCAAGACTAGACTGTCTCACTGTCCACAAGAGCAACATGTCGGTGTGTGGGCTTCAGCTCACCCACTCTTTGTCTCAACTACGAAACGCTCAAGAAAACTGTCCGCAGAAGGACCCCCGCGGTTCATGCATGCACAGTTTTGCAGCGTTTCGCCACTTCTTCTTCTGAAATATCCCCTCACCACAGCAGGACGCCCAGCGTTACGCTGACTTTGTCAGCGAGCTCGCACTGTCTCCATCTTGACAACCGTAAAGCAAGCCAGATGACGGACTCACCCAAAGCTCTGTGCCCCAGTCCATGTTCAGCTTGTCGGCCAAGCTGTCTGCCGATCCCCGAATACAAAGAACTTCTCCAAAGTTATCCAGCAGCTCGGGGGACGGGGCCCTGGCAAAGTACGAGCCCGATAAATAAGTCGTGGCCACGCGACGCAGTCCGGTTTTGAATGCCTCAATAAATAATGCAAAGAAGCATCGTAATTAGTTGGTTAAATAAGGCTGGAAGTCGTTATTCTAGGTTGTCCAAATATGTTTCATAGCGAAGGAAAGAGGGATAAACTAGCTTTCATATACGCGTCACTCCCAAATCCTAAGTCTTAAAGGGGCAGTGCACTGAACCACAGGCGACTCTTCCCAGAGGAGCGTGCTGCATCCTGGCAGTTTGTGTTGTTTTACTTACATGATGCTTTTGGTTAATTTTTAAGTGTCCTTGAGCAAGGCATTGAGCCGAAGGAGCTGTGTGCTGTCCTGATACAGCATCCTAAAATTCATTATCACACATTGCATCTTCATAAACGGATGATCTGACACGCTGACTGACGCTACTGGAAGCTTTTGTTATTAAAACATGAATGAGGTTTAACTGACTTCTTAGTGACTGAATTATTTCTCTCAAATTATGACTTTTACAATATTCTTCCCAAAATTATTCATGGCAGTCACCCCTGTCCCGTTTTCTTTATGTTTATTATGTAGTTGTACAATGTTACTTTAATGTGACAAACATTTCAAGAGGACAATGCAAAGATGATCATTACAAAGTAGCTTGTACACCGTTTCCAAATACACATACAACATATTAACACAGGCTACTGTATTAATAATTAAAAACAAAAGCTAGGTTACTTTAAAGTCCTATAAATACAAAATAAAATGCACTTTTTTTTGTCTTTGCTGATGTAAACCTAAAATCGTACCATACCAAAGTTAAAATGTAAATATATTTACATGTCATTTTTGCCAAGCAGGACAAATCACAATCATCTGGTTAAGTTTTCATTCTCCAAGCTGATTGATTCAGCAAGTACTATAGGCTACTGTATGTCCTAAACTTTCACCCCGTTGGACTGAGGAGTCATCGGGATAACTGAATCATGACCTTGGCCTGGGACAAAAGTATATTGTCCTCGTTTTTTCGAGCGGTGGACAAAGATGAAGATGATGATGATGATGATGAGGATGAAGACGATGGCCAATAGAATCAGCAACCACCAAATGACTGTGACACCGGCTGCACTTTGGTTAGGCCTATCTGTAAGAGAAACAAGAAGAGGAAAACAAAATTAATTTAAAGTCACTTCTTGGTGGCATAAATTGCTGTGTTTATTTATCTATGGCTACATCGGCTACCACTTCACTCTATATATTTTCATAAGTGTTCTGCACATAGTCAATAATGATACCTTTCACCACCAGTATGACAGTTCTTGTCGCAACCCCAACTGTATTGTTGGCATTGCAGACGTAAGCGCCAGCATTGGTAGACGTGGCTCCTGTGACAGTGATACTCTTCTGGCGCCCCCTGGTGGTCACCGTCACATTCGCTTCAGAACCGTAGGTCCACTTGATCTCAGGGGGAGGGTGGCCATCAGCACTGCAGTTAAAAGTCACATTGTCCCCCAGGGTCACGTTCACCTTCTTACTGTAGCTTCCGTCGAACACAGGGGCATCTGTGGAGAGACGGGTGACAACTGAGAAGAAGGAATGGTATAATCCCTAATATTTACTGTCAACAAAACAATAGACACTTTATGTGATTCCAAAAATATAAAAACGTACAGAAAACATCAACATATAGCCTGTGTGTGGCTTCTCCATGTTTGTTGGTTGCTTTCAGTAAGTACGTTTCTCGATCATTCTTTATAAATAGATAAGAGGACAACTCACAGTGCACAACAGCCGTGTATGGTGATGAGGTTACAGTAGGGCCGAGCTCTGATCCATTTTGTCCCAGGTGCAGCTCAGCCTCGCATCTGAAGAGTGCTCCGTCGTGATCTCTCTCAGGTGTGACTCTCAAGGTAGAGGACACATTCACTGGGGTCTCTGCGGTGCCATTAAACATCTCTGTGCGCACAGTTTCATTGCCGCGGTACCACCTCAGTTTGAGCTTCTGCACAGGAGCCACGTTGGAGATGTTACATTTCAGCCGGTACTCTGTGCCCGCCACCATCGGCCCCTGATCCAACGCAGAGACTGACACATTGTCTGGAGTCTCTGCAAATAAAGCAAAGGAAAATAATCAGTCGGGGGGGGGGACAAACATACTGATATCCATGAAATTGCAATCACAACTGTACAAGAAATATTTTCCATATTTACTTTGCTTTTGAAGTGGCATAGTAAGTGTACTATAAATAATAATCACTTACAGACAGAATATAATGTATAGTTGTACTCACTATAAACGGTGATGTCTAGCATCACATCGCACTGGCCATATTTCCAATTAAGGTAGCACAAAGGTTTTGCGACCCATTCTTCCACTTTTTCAACTTTCCAGGTGGTTACATTATCAGTAGAACTCATGGTCCCAGAAGTAGCCTCCCAGCCCATTTGGGAAACACCTGTGACCGATGTGCTGCAGTTAACTGAGACCGGATCCCCAAATCTCACCACGATTTCAGCAGGAGTCAATACTAGGGGGCAACCTGCCATTCAAAAGTAAGCATATTCCATTAGAGCTTCATTTTGGGGCACATTAAGGGGAGAAAAACAGTTGATCAAGCAAGATAATAGTGACACATATTCTATATCTATATGCCAATGTAAAGGAGCCTACTTCTTGGTGTTGATGGCTCAGGGGTGGTTATGGCTGCGGGGGCTCCCATTATGTTAATTTTCACCACATGGACGTGGATTTGCTTAGTTGTGCTTCCCAGTTTATTGGTAGCTGTGCAGTTGTAAATTGCGCCTTTTGCTTGAGTTATGTTGAGGTAATTGGTGCTCTTCATTAAATTCACCCCATCGAGTGACCAATGAAAGGCAGGAGCAGGGTTCCCCTCAGCTTCACAGTACAGGGTGACATTATCACCCTCGTACACATCGACATCTTCCATTTTGTTCTTGAGCTCAGGGGCATCTGAAGAGGCAAACAAAGGCTTTTTATTTATTCAAATATTTACATCATAGAGAACGACTTTGAGGAAAGAATCAATCTGTGTATCTGGAAACAAGAGTTTACTCACAGTGCACAAAAACAGTGTGTACGTTTGAAATAACAGGAGGTTGTGATCCATGTTGCCCAAAGTCCAGCTGGGCCTCACATCTAACCTGAGTTCCACTTTTTCCTCTGCTGAAGTTGGCTGCCAGAGGGAAGGACTCACTTACTAGTGTTTTGGTTTTGTGTGTGGAATAGTCTGTCCTGATGGTCTCATTGCCTCTGTACCACCTCACAGTCAAGTATTGAACCAGAGCGACATTGTCGACATCACACTGCAGCACGTACTCTCTCCCTTCCACTGCAGGTTCATACTTTGTAGGAAACACACTGACGCTCTCTGGATTCTCTACCAAAACAAAATGAAATATAGATTATTGTTTTTGCTTTGTTTTTGTTTTTTTTCATTAGAAACTATTAATTTGAAATTAAACTTACTGTATATAGTGATGTTAAGGTCTTTGCTGCAGTTATGAGTGTCATTCAGCTTTAATATGCACTCTGCAGTCACATTCCAATCTGTCAGATTAAATGACCAGGGTGCACTATTTTCTACTGGAAATTCTCTGTCTCCAACCCTCCAGTACATCCCATCATAATCATTTTCTGCACTGGAACAGCTGACAGTCACCAACTCTCCATATTCTGCCAGAACCTCAGGCGGATCCAGGCTGAGCACATCGGGGCATCCACTGTCTGCATCTGTTGATAGACAATGGGAATGGTTTGATTGCACTTTAAAAGTGGACTTTGCTGCACTCTGGTGGCTAAGGAACTGTTTAAGGCTGAATTCTAGCTCACAGTACTCTGTCATGTTTTTTTTAGTAATAACTGCGCTGCATCACAGATCTGTATTCATACAGACTTTGCTACTGTTCAAAAACATTTTTAAAAACTGGCACATTATACATTCATGACGGAGAGCTAAGTTGGTTTTAATTTTAAACATAAAAAATAAGCATGATTGTATTATATTCATGCTAAAATATTATGATGAAGGTTGTAATTTAAAGGAGTGGGATAGTGAGATAGGCAGCATTTTTGAGGATTTCAAAAAGCAAAACTTCAAAGACGGTATTTGTGTTTATTTACTGTCTGGAAAAACATCCACGCTGCCAGGATTATGGTTAACAAGCTAAATTGTTCGAAAACTCATTTTTTTCAAAATGGACTCCACCTACCACACACGCAAGTCAACTGTCACAGATGTTACAGCAGATGTTTTTACCACAAACAATATAATGCCTCAGCCGCTTCATTTCTCAAAGTTGTACTTACATTTAAAGAAGTCACTTTTAAAAAAAAATCTGTTTCACTTAATTCTTTAAAAAAATGTATACATCACATTTTCCATTTTTCTTGACTTCCTTTAGATTATCCTTAACAGCACCTCATCAAAAGGATATACATTATTGTATAAAATATAATTACACTGAAAAAAGAAAATTGTTAACCAACTTCAAATAATTACTTCAACTTTACTTCTACTTTATTGGTTATACTCAAACTAAACAAACACAATATCTTTGAGATTGAATTGAAGTATTGAGCTGAAGTATCTGTGTGTTGACAATCAAAGTAATTATTTAAATGAGTGAGTTGGTCTTTTACTCATCACCATCACCGGTAGCACATGGAGCTTTTGAACCTATAGGCAAGCGAGAAACTACCTCCGTTTTTAAACTTTGTTTTATAGCCCCAGCATAGAATAAAGTGTTACATTTAAGACCCACACACAGCTCCTACAAAGAGTCAATATCACTCACCACACGGTGAAAACATGAGCACGAGGAGGCCCAACATCCAGAGAGGCAGCATGCTAGCTTTGAGAGGCAGCATGCGGGAGAGAGGAGGTGGATGGAAGAAGTGAGGCGTGTTTCAGGCTGGTCCAGCAGATGTCCAGCTTCAGTACTTGGACAAGATGAATCCTGGATCAGAGCTGGCCCCGATGGTGACGACCTGCTGCTGACAGTGAGACGTGCTTAGGTTGATGAAAAGAAAGTATACAAGGGGGAAACTCAACACCCTGGTGAACAGGAAACTGCCAGCAAATCGGAACTATGTCACTAAAACCACAGTTTGCTCTACGTGGAGCAATTGTAGATGATACACTCTTCCTTCTCTCTACACTTCTCTCCTTTCATCTTTTCTATTCCTTCAGAACAATAACCATTCAGAATATAATTGGGCATCATTTTATTTAAAAGTACATTGCAAATTGGAAAACATCAAATTTTGGCAGGGAATTGCAAAACAGGACAGAAATGTCAACACAGAACACGTTAGTCGATCTCCAATTATTCACAGTCTACACACATCACTGACTGGCCTCCAAGCAACATGTAGGGACCGTATTCATTAAAGCTGGCTCAGCACTGTACAGGGATAACACTGAAACATGTTCTTTAAAGCCGTCTACATCTGTCTGCATCAGTAAACATATCCATGACGCAACTGTTATGTGGGTTTGATCATCATGGAAACTCGTTTGAGAGAGTAGGCCCCTCCGTGGAACTCTGCCCAGTAGACCCCATCCTGGTAGCGGCTGCGATAGTGTCCACCCCGGTACCACACACCATTCAGATTGGAGTGGGCACACATGTGGTACCACCAGCCTCCCTTTTGGTAGTGAGCGCAGTTACCTGGGGACACAACAGAACAACAGGCTTATTAACAGAAAAGGTCAACAGAGAGCTAACAAACAGGACCAGGTGGAGAGCAGACCCGTGTAGCTGTCCTTGTCTCGATCCAGAGTGGTGAAGGCCTTATTGTTGTGCCATGAGAGGGAATCCCCTGCATTGCCGTGGTATTGTCCTAACCGCAGTCTGTACCAATCACTCTCCGGTTCAAGGTGGAAGCTGTCGTACTCTGCAAACACCTGCCGGCCCTGCCAGTCTTCCAGAGCCACCCGCAGCTTATATTGGGCCTGTTTTGTCAGCCAGTAGAGGTGTTCTAGGCCGAGCCAATACTCTCCGTCTAGGTTCCCAAAGCCTTGCTGTAACACACCAACACACAGGTTGAACCTGAGGAAAAGTATTAATCCTGTGTTGTACTTTTCCCCCTGACGCTAGTGCAGCAGATCAAAGTTGTCATTTTTCCAGAGAAATATTTTTAACATTAGCTGGATGGATTGGAAAACAAATTGTTCACAGCATTCATGGTCTCCAGAGGATGAATCCTAAAGACTTTAGGGATCATCTGACGTTTTGGATTTTGGGGAAATATCTCAACAACTATCAGATGGATTGCCAAGAATTTGGCAAGGACACATTCATGTCCCCCTCAGGATGAAATGTAATAACATTGGTGATCCGGACTTTCCATCTAGTGCCATCATCAGGTCTAAATTGAAATTCCGTCCAATACTTTGGTTTATGACATTCCCATCTGCCTCAGTTGGACTTAATAAACTAAGAGCCACCTTATACTGCTCCCACGTCTGGAAGAAGTTGACCGACCCATCCTGTCTCCTTTGGATCACCGTCCACCCTCCCTGAGCCCGACTCTGCTCACACCAGGCCTGCAGGAGGCGGTTGGCACTCTGTGGACGGAGCAGGTAGATCCCGCTGGTGGTCTCACCTGATTCCAGCACATGCTGGCAGTCCCGCCACGGCCCTGAGAGGGGAGAAAAATATATGCAACCAAGTGAGGGGGAAGGAGCCATAACAAGACATGCTATATGCAGATACATGTTGTAGTATTATAATAACATTTTGAAATTCTTTACTATAAGGGAGAGGTTTTCAAAGTGGGAGGCGGGCCTCCCCTGGGGAGCTACAAACTGTTTCAGAGGAGTTTCAGTGAAGGGAAGTGAACAAATATTACATTAAATATCAAAAAAAGATCACACAGAATAGCCTAAATATCTGATTTGGTTAAAGAGATAGTTCAGAGATGAAGTACTCGGTGGGGGCAATTTTGAAAATCACAAGGGTGGTTTGTGTTGGTTTTGGAATTCTGCTTGTGTTAGCGTCAGTAGGATCACAGATACACAGCAACGCCAGCTTATCTTTTCAGAGCCGTAGAATTTTTCCCCCCAACACATGTTGAGTGTCTCGTGTCCCAGAGATAAGAGGAACATAGAAACCTACACTGAGAAAATGTATACATGGAGGACAATCTGCCAAACGAATGACTAATGGTCATCCCCGACAAGCATTTGCAGTCCATGCACAGCCTTTCATCAGACCTTTTCGCAAGAGTTGAGTCTCACACACACACACACACACACACACACACACACATATGGTGGAGTCACTTCGGTTCTGCTGACTAGTCGGAAAGACTGCTCAAATCCTCTAATTTGTCATTTCAAACATTCCAGTTGTGCAAGTACACGGTATCCGTGTAGCTCCAACAAATGCTGTAGTTCAAGAGTGAGTCTTCATTATAAAGTCCTCTCTCTTCTGATAAGAGCTGCTGGCTGTTTTTGACATTGTTTAGGCATTCCCAGAGCGATAGGGCTCCTACCAGCAGGTCACTGACTCCTTCAGCCTTTGCTTATCGGAGCAGCTAAATAACTCGGACAGAAGATTGATGCGCTCATACACATAGGTTCAAGTCTAATCGAGCACTCCTGCTCTAAGACGTGCTTTGCATTGATGTACCTGGAGTCTTTGTGACAGGGAAACTAATGAATGGAGGGTCCGTAGGAGAGTTGGTTGAGGCGGTGGGGAGGGAAACAACAGCTTTTTCCTGTTGTGGAGGAAGAGCACTTTGGTCCCTTTGAACATCATTGGCCATTTCGCTGGCATCAGAGCTGTAATTAGGATGCACATTCGACTGGCTTTTTGGTGGTTCAGTCGTCACCTGTCCAGACCAACACAAAAACAACACTCTCAGTTCCGGTTTTAAAACCTAAATTTTGCAACATGCAGACCACAGTTTGTTCCCTACCAGAGAGGCCTGCGTGGAGTCCCTGCACTGGCACTGCTTCTCCAGACGAGCTATAAACTGGTTCTGGGAGCTCAACATGGAGGTGAGGGCTCCATATTTCTTCTCCAGCTCCCTGTAGTTACTGGACACCTGCAGCGCCTGACATGCCGCACCACCCACAGCAAACATTAGGAAGAGTTCGATAGCGATGAGGACAAGACGCAGATGATGCGGCGCTCTGCTCACCTGTGTTGTAGCATTTAGCAGGATGCTCTCCACCCTTCGCTGCTCCGAAGACTGGTCTTTCTTGTGAATGACTTCATGTAGCAGCTGGGCATAGAGCTCGGCAATGCGAGAATTCATGCTGTTACTCTCTTTGCGCAGGGCTCTTACCTCCATGGCCAGGGACCCCTCCTGCTCCAGCTGGCCGTGGAGCTTCTCCAGCTGCTCCTGCTGCCGTCTGAGCTCCGCCCGCAGCGCTGCCACCTCCGACTGGTTGGCAGAAGCCGACTGCGTGTTCAAACACAGCGCACCTGTCAGTTTTTGCTGTGGAACAATGAAAGTGTAGGAGCAACGGCCTCCTTTCGTATCTGAAGATCGCGATGAACCCTTCTGAGTGTCCTCGCCATGAGCCCCGTCCTTCCGTCCTCCAGCTCCTGGTATGTCCACACAGAGTGTTAAGAAAAGAGTCAGACCTATTGTCAGTGTCTTCTCCATGAATGTGTTAAACTTCTGAGGATACCCTGGTAGCGGAGGAGAGGACACGATTAGAATTACCACAGCAATAACAACTGACACAAAGACATAAACTTTGTATTCAAAGGGAAACAGTGTGTTGTGGGTCTTGACTGTTCACCAGATGTTTCTTTGTATACACACATTTCCCCCTGGCTGGAATTTATTAGCAGGTCAACACTAAAAGGACAACAGTCAACATCAACCTGCCAGAGTCAACACACTTCCATCTCACGGTCAACAGAGGAGTTAGCTCCACATCCAGACACAACAGCCACGGTCAACACCATAAACACACAAATAGGTAAAAATCGGTAATATCTGACACAAGAATCTCCTCCATAACTTTCTCACTGGTACCAAAACTATAAGTCTACACTTCAAAGAAATATTTTTTTCTGAATTTAACAACCATTTCTGGATTTTATAATGATTTAACTAGCTAGTTATTAGTTATTTTGCCAAGTGCAACTTTGGATGAGTAGATTTTGGTCTACATTGAAGTGGACTATGTATTGACTTACCGCAGCAGCTGAAAAGTGTTCAGGATGTCTTTGTTCTGCTCCAGTGTGTAGCTGCAGCTCCCAGGATGCACAGATGAAACAAAGATTAAATAAAGGCTTACGCATTTCATTCAAAAAATCACATGTTCAAGGATCAGGAAGAGTCACAAGATGCTTCTTCCAAATTAAAAGTCGTCAGTGGTCCTCCGTGAATGTTGACGTGAACCCGCGTTTTGTAAGCAGCTAATCTACCTTTACTTCTCCGGAGGTTCTGTGTCAGCATCTGTGAAGAGGGAGACAACTAATTACAAACCATCCAAATGACGCCGCCTCCCAGTACCTGCTGTTTAGCTGGATGTCTCCTCCCTCGGCCATCAACCTTCTATCCTGCCTCAGACTTTATCCTACAAGGAGCTGATAGTGTGGGGTTCAAGTGCAGTGATTTACGCAAGGGCTGCAACTAATGGTTGTTGTCATTGATGGTTTTGTTCATGGTTGATTCTATGAAATGTCATAAAATAATGACAAACGCTAAGAGGGCGTCCTCGTCTTGTTTTGTCCGACCAACAGTCCAAAAATCATCAAATAGGCTAGAAACAGTATTAGTTTTGTTAAAAAACAATAATGCAATTCATTTTCTGTTGTTCAATTAATCGCCTCATCGTTTCAGCTCTAGTTTATACTTTCACCTCATCATTGAAACATGTTTGGTTTGATTCATAGTCATAGTCTCGTCCTGCATGCAATGGCATTTTCTCCCTAACAGTGTGGGTTTGCCCCAAGCTGTTGCTGTCCTCTTACTTCATTTTACTAAAACTTAAACAGACAGCTGGGTTTGCTGAAAAATAGACACATTGCAAACAACAGTACATCAGCTATCGATCTATAGGAACTAACATTCTGCTGTGTCTCCTTGCCGACACATGAAACATTATTGCAAACTCTGTAAAAGTAAAATTCCTGCATTGAAGTTTAGTTAAGTAAAAAAATAGGAAAAAGTGCTTAAAGTATTTCTATGGACCCCTTTCAGAGTTTTGTATTAGAAAGGTTGTCATAATATTATTACTGATATAGACACTGATACAGACAGTGATGCTAATTTACCGTTTATTTTCTATACTGCTGGTTTTAGTACTTTAATCCATAACAATGCCTTTATTTCATATATTATGATCGTATGTAGTTTATGTAAAATCTTAATTCACAAAGTAACTGTTGCTGTCAGATAACTGAAATGTGATCAAAAGTACAATGTGTGCCACCAAAATGTAGTAAAGTACAAGTACAAAGTATCATAAAATGGAAATTTGTTTAAACTTTCATTCATTGGAGTCATACCACTTAGAGATAAAGAAAGGCTTGCAACTTTTAACCTACAGAGACCGCAGCAGACTGTAGACTATTCGATGCATTAAATATTGTTCCATTTTGTTACACTGACTGTCACATCCAATCTGTGATATAAAGAATCATCAAGTTTTTGGGTGGGGACAGATCGTGCAACCAGATCGCAAAAAAATTAACAGCATGCACTTTTGACCTTTGAAATTCTATCACAACTGTTTTGTGAAGCAGTGGTTACACCGTTCTCTGTGGCCAGCAGTGTTGCCAGTAAACACGTTTGAGATGATATCTTTGATATTGTAGCAGTTGTCCTCCTGTAATATCTGCTACTGACAAAACTGCAGGACTGTCAAAGATCCTTCAATGATGGGGTGGAAGCGTGACACCTAAAATTATATTCCTCTTTGTGGTTCCTCAGCAGCTGCTGGTGTTGCTTTGCTGCCAGCTACTTGCTGGAGATAATTAAATCCTGCCATTTCAATTGCTCCTGTTCTCTAAAATAAAACAAAAAACGTTTTAGTTTTGTGTTACAGTTGTCTTTCTGCTCTGTTGAATAAAGATACAGACAACTCTCTTTCCCTCTCGTGAACTGGACAACAACAACAATAATTGAAACTGCTGCACTTTATATAGGTTAATGTTTATCTTGTAGAATAATGTTTTGTGTTGTCATATTGCAGCCATGTATAATATAATTAATATATTGGTGCTGTTTTATGTGGACCAATGGGAGATAATAAAAAAATGTACAAAAAATAACTAAAAGCATTTATATGTGGCCAAAAACTATAGGCCTCCATATAGAAATGACCGAATAAATACATAGCCTCCACAGTATAGGCTTTTGTGTATTATTGTTTTCTTACTCTGCTTATTTATTTCTATGTCCATCTCCTCATTTATTTAGTTTGCTATTAATGTACTTCGTCTTTGTATCATATAATATTATAATAATCTGTATGCATTCAACACAGATCTGTTCAGTTTTGTTTAGAGGTGCAAGCTGGGATACAGGTAGCTCCTTAGCACCTGTAACACACTGTAACAAAGGTATTTATTGACCAAACACGGGCAGGAGGTGTGACCATATGCAGCAGTGCAGAAGTCTTTCCCCCAGTGTAATATTACAATGCTCACTGACTGCTATTCTTCTGAAGTAATAGCTCAAAGTTATCACAAAGTTTTACCTGAGGCGTTAGTACCTTCCTCGACGGTAGTTGGAGATGAAGGTGTACTGGTGTCTGAGTCCATCTAGTGGTCACAATGCAACAATGCAGGAACTGCAACATTAAATCCTTCCGTGAAATAATATATTTCAGAATAAAGTAAACACACCGAAGCAATCACACATGAACAGAATGGATCATCAACATTATAACATTATTTGTTGTCTGGTCCTGACAGCTAAAAAGTACAGGAACATGATATGGGTAGAAGACGACTGGATCTGGTAGGAATAAGGATCTGAGGGTCTATGGATGGATGTGTGGATTCTAGATGGACCGATAACAATTACTTAACAAAAACATTAGTTGAAAAACAAATTAATCAATTCACATGATTCTATTTATATAGATTAAATATATAAAAAATCAGCTGTCAATCTTGCCCACAATGATTCTTAAACGAGGAATAATAAGACCGTACCATTTATTAAAATGAGATTTTAACAATAATTTGCTTTTAATAAAATAAAAAGAAGACGAATCTGCTTTTATTTTGAAAACAATTACCAGAAGTCACATGGGTTTTGTTGGACTTGACAGCGCTTTAGGTCATGACGAGAAATGTCACTCTTTGTTAAGTAAAGTGGTGAGAAATCTTGCTCCAAAACAAGATTAACGTAATTAAATGGTCATTACCGCCACACCTGCTGATATTAGTGACTGCAAGTCAAAGTAAAGGGCGGCAGTTGGCTCACGCGACTACTTATTTCGCTAGCGTGTCGGCTAACAACAGCTGCAGTTCGGGGAGGATGTCGCTTCACGGCAAAAGAAAAGAAATCTACAAATACGAGGCACCATGGACGGTGTACGCGATGAGCTGGAGCGTCCGACCAGACAAACGCTTTCGGCTGGCACTTGGGAGCTTTGTGGAGGAATACAACAACAAGGTGCGTAGTGTGGTCACCATTCATCAGCTTAACGTCAGCGAGCTAATGCTAATGCTACTTGTCCTGCGCAGCACCGAGGCATTCAATCACTAGTCTGTTTTGTTGTTATTCCACAGTAACACAAGAGTACACGTGTAAATAGTCTGCGCGCGTGTCTGTGTGCCTGTAACAGTGCTATCCCACAGTAACACCATATATAGCTAATGCCATTTCTAGCCTCATAGTCATGTCAACAGTAATCCATGATGTGTGTTTGCTCCTGGGTCCAGGTCCAGCTGGTGGGTCTGGAAGAAGAGAGCTCAGAGTTCCTCAGCAGGAACACATTTGACCACCCGTACCCCACGACCAAGATCATGTGGATCCCGGACACTAAGGGGGTTTACCCGGACCTGATGGCCACCAGTGGGGACTACCTGCGCATTTGGAGGGTTAGGATGTTTGATCTTACAGGATAAGTCTGGTGATGTAGCTGTTGTTTGTATGCTAAGTACAGTTACCACTTGACTGCCTGACCATGGGAACTTCAGTCGTCTATGACTGCTCTTCAAAAAGACTTCTGTATCTGTCAGTTATGAATCATTCTCAACTGTAGTTTAAACACAAACTAGTCAGTGCTGCGGGGGTAACATCGGTTTGTTTACTGCTTTAGCTGTGAAATGCTCACATTGACATGAACATAGTAGTTGTTTGAAGAAGTCTCCTCACTGGCCAAATTCTTTTGGATTGATCTCGCAGGTCAGCGACACAGAAACGCGTCTTGAATGTTTGCTGAACAACAACAAGAACTCAGACTTCTGTGCTCCCCTCACATCCTTTGACTGGAATGAAGTTGATCCTAATCTGCTGGGTAAGGACTCCACTATATAATAGATAGTGAGGGGGTTATCAATTGGTCTTTATTGCAAGTTTAACATGTTGGTTCATCCTGCAGGTACTTCAAGCATTGACACCACCTGCACTATCTGGGGGTTAGAGACGGGCCAGGTGTTAGGACGAGTTAACCTGGTGTCTGGCCATGTGAAGACCCAGCTGATTGCTCATGACAAAGAGGTGCGTGGGTGTCTTTGATGTAAAACGCAGCCCTGTGTCTACACAGCCAAAAAAAAAAGAATATTTCAATCGACGTCTTTGTGTGTCTGTGCAGGTGTATGACATCGCGTTCAGCCGTGCGGGCGGTGGTAGAGATATGTTTGCCTCTGTGGGAGCCGATGGATCCGTCCGCATGTTTGACCTCCGGCACCTGGAGCACAGTACCATCATCTACGAGGACCCCCAGCACCACCCGCTGCTCCGCCTTTGCTGGAACAAGCAGGACCCCAACTACTTGGCCACAATGGCCATGGACGGCATGGAGGTCAGTTTGCTGTAGATTCTCTCAGCCTGTCGGTAGCCATGTTTTCTGCTTTGAAAATGAAACATTGGTAAGCCAAAGAAGCTTTTTTTTTTTAAATTGATTTAGAAAGGATTGTGTTGTTATTTCTGACTGAGAAGAACCTTTTCTTATGCTTATGGTTCTTTTCTAGAACCATAAGCATAAAAACATGAACTATTTGTTTGTTGACACTTAACCAATGTTTCACGTTACTGTTTTATGTGATAGGTCGTCATCCTGGATGTACGTGTGCCTTGCACTCCGGTGGCTCGGCTAAACAACCATCGCGCTTGTGTCAACGGCATCGCTTGGGCCCCCCACTCGTCGTGTCACATCTGCACTGCAGGTGAAGGCCCCGACAGATTGTGGGATATAGTAGAGGGGGATTAAAAAGCAGATGCTAGCAAAGACGCATTTCTCTGACTATTGCTAACTTTCGTCTGAAACGGCACAAACTCGTACTGTAAAGGGACCTTAAGGCTTAACTTTATCTGTAATCAGCCGCATTTCCCTGCTTTCTCAGTCTGAAATAGCTCCGTTAATGTCTTCTTTGTGTGTCTTATTTCCTTAGCCGACGACCACCAGGCTCTGATCTGGGACATCCAGCAGATGCCACGAGCCATTGAGGATCCCATCCTGGCCTACACTGCCGAAGGGGAGATCAACAACGTGCAGTGGGCGTCCACGCAGCCGGACTGGATCGCCATCTGCTACAACAACTGCTTAGAGATCCTGCGTGTCTAAAGCCACGAACACTTATACGAAGAAGAGAAGCTCCTTCCTGTTTCAGAGTTTCTGGACTTGATTCTTAGCCTTCGTCCCACTGCTTTCAAGACAAGGATGAGGTCACGAGTGAACTTTCTGAACGTGTTTTGGAGTATCGCACACCTACCCCACAATGACCCGGTTTACAGTTTCTCTTTACTGCGTTGCTCTTCTATTAAAAGTATTAAGCTCTTATTTATTTTTTGGCTCACAAGGTAGTGTTCAGAAGCTTTGAAATCTGAGCAGCTGTCTATGAAAATCCGATTTTTATACTTCTTGGTGTCACTTCAGCCAGCTGTGAGATTATCATGAAGGGTTTAGATGGCGTGTGCTTCATCTTTTCGAGTTGTAAAGGTTGATGCAAACTGCTGGAGGTGGCAGAAGATGACCTCTCTAGGAATACGTGGGAGCCTTCTTGTGTAAGATTTTTCAAATGGGTGTTTGTCCTGTTTACTCCCACCGAATGATCGAGGCTCAAACTTGTGACCGATGAAACTTTTCTAAATTGTCAGATGACCTGAGAGGGATTTGTATCGTCTGTCATCATATGGTGTGTTTTAGTTTGGCTGTGAGGCGGCCATGTACAGCAACACTCAGAACCTACCAGAGCAATGTCGTTCAGCCCTATGAACTCCCTTCTTCTTCTCTTCTTCTTTAATTGTGGGAGATTGTGCTTTGAAAGCTGCATTTTCTTTTGTTTAAAGTTGTGAAAATGGGCGGAGCGTGAACCAACTTCCTGACCGAGTCTGCCTCTCTTTTTGTCGTTTCCAATAATTAAAGGGTCACGTCCTTGTAGCATGCTAGCAAAAAAATGTACATACATATAAATATATCAACTAGAGATGTTGGTAAGACAAGTGTTCATGTTGTAGCTTTTTCATAAAGTTTATTAATGAATTTGCTCTAATAAATTGTATTCCTTCATGTCCTAGGAACAAACTTGACATATTGCTTTCTTTTGTGAAGTAGCAAATCATTTACAGATTTTTTTTATAGTAAGTATTACATTATAACTAGAAAATGCATTTCCTGCTAAAAATGCATTGGAATGCTGAAAGCTGAAATGAATTGTAAAAAAATTGCTGAAAATTAAGAAATGGGAGACTACCCGTCTGGAAAATGTTGAAGCCTGAAAGCATTTAAACTGAACTGCTGAAAACCCTTCTAGTTGAAATGTCTAACTGTGGTGTCTGTAGCTGAAAGTATGAGGAAGAAGGCTTTGAAAGTTGAAGAAGTTTAACATGATTTGAAGATTTTCTCCATAGAGATCCCATTCACAAAACATTGCAAATAGCTTAATAATTCAAAGAATTTAACGATTACAAATATGAAAAGTCAAAGCACCCGTCTCCTGAAAGAGCTGAACATTTTGATATTCGAACGGTTTCTGTGGCTTAAAAAATGTCAGCAGTAGTGATATTTGTAGTAGTAGTACTAGAAGTTGTAGTTGTAGAAGTATTATTAGTAGTATAAGTATTAGTATTTCGAAGAAGTAGTAGTATCAGTAGTAATAGCTGTAGTAGTGGTCGTAGTATTTAATATAACAGTAGTAGTAGAAATAGTAATAATAGTAATGGCAGTATTTGAAATAGCAGTAGTAGTACTAATAGCAGTCGTACTAATAGCTGTAGTGGTATTAGTGCTGGTAGTAGCATGAATAGCAGTAGTAGCAGTTGTATAAGTAGTGGTAGTAACAGCAGTAGTGGTAGTAATAATATTGATGGTAGCAGTAATAGCAATAGTAGTAATATTAGCAACAGCAAAAGTTGTAATAGAAGTAGTAGCAGCAGTAGTAATACTAGAAATATTAGCAGCAGTAGTAGTCGCAATATTAGTAAGAGCATTCATTATTTCAACAAAAAAGCCTAATTCTGAGCTTAACGTTTAAATACAGTTAATCCATGGGGCTTTTATTTTGAAAGGGTGGGGCTGGGTGGGGGAGAGAGGGGGAGAGGAGACATAATCATAATGTTTGACACATAAACAGAGGTTATTAAATGACAGGCTTCATCACAAGCATTTCAGTTATATTTCACTCTGTGGGGCTTTTATTTTGAAATGGGGTGTGGGGGGGAGAAGGGGAGAGGAGATGGACTCATATTGTTAGATTAACAAACAGGTTATTAAATGACAGGCTTCATCACAAGCATTTCAGTTAGAATTCACTCTGTGGGGCTTTTATTTTGAAATGGGGTGTGTGTGTGTGTGGGGGGGGGGGGGGGGGG